ACGCTATGGTTTATACATTGTACAAGCATAATGTAGATACGCTATTCCCTTTCTGAAAAATAATGAATTATTAGAATGGTGTAAATTGATGCTATCAGTGTCCCTGATACACACAAAAATTTTAGAAAACCTCTTTACAATGTCTTTAACTACACAGTTTGATCTAGTTTATAAAGGTTCATTTTTTTGTTTCCTTTTTTTTCTGTGGGTTGGTATACATGCCATCGATGATCTAACAAGATTCCTCTTTACATCGTGTTCTGTGGAATTTGGACAGGTTTTTGCCAGTGGCATCTCAAGAACATTGGATTTCGACATGCATTCTAGGGGATTCATGAACCAAAAATCGCAATATAATATAAGACTGTTGAAGCAATGGTTAGATGTGAATAATCGTACCTGGCCTATCCACGACTTAAGATTTTTGGAAAGAAAATTCTTACCCTGTCTATAAAGAAAGGAGCGTCTTTGATTTTAAATAATGTTTTTAACTGCCTGATATTCCCTAGTTTTATAGCTTGACCTATAGCCGTCTGAAAACAAACAAAAACATTTCGTTAATTTTGACGATCAGGGTTTCTGAAAAACGATGTTGCCAGTCAATGTCAAAGCGTGAATATTGCATGTGCCAATTTTGTTCGTGCATTGCATATACAGTGTTGGGTGTTAAAGAAGATACCGGTACTCTCCATAGAAGCACTGGCCAAGGCAACAAGAAGGTGTCATTAGTGGCTTGAGTTTTAGTAGAATTGCAAGAACCACAGATGTCTGATTGAAAATTAGAATGATGTAAATTGATGCTATCAGTGTCCCTGATATACATAAAAAATTTAGAAAACCTCTTTACAATCTCTTTAACAAGAACCACAGACGTCTGATTGAAAATTAGAATGGTGTAAATTGATGTTATCAGTGTCTCTGATACACATAAAAAATTTAGAAAACCTCTTTACAATCTCTTTAACAAGAACCACAGACGTCTGATTGAAAATTAGAATGATGTAAATTGATGTTATCAGTGTCTCTGATACACATAAAATTTTGTTAGAAAACCTCTTTACAATTTCTTTAATGAAAAATTGATACACACTTCAAAAAAATAAAATAAATCAAAAACAAAAATAAAATCATGCTCACTGCAGCTAGTTCTTTCATTTGTCCGGCCATGACTGTGATATATATTTAACGTCAATTATTCCAGCCAACTTACTTATCATGTCAGAGAAGACCCTGTTTTGAAGAAATTTACAGGAATTGGATGAAAATGAAATGAAATGAATGGAGTTTTACGTCCTACTTTTCTGCACCTGATTGGACTAATGAAGATGGGTATCACCATGCAGTGTACAATAAGGGAAATTTTGTCAGGACAGCGCCAATTCATGAAGTTACATATTCTAAAATTGGAGTATTCTTAGTAGTGAGAACCCCCAAAGCCCAAACACCATACCCATCATAGACCATAGCAAGCAGTCACTTTTTTCAGGGGGTGGGGGGAGGGGGTATTCTTAGTAGTGTGAACCCCCAAAGCCCAAAACCATACCCATCATAGATCATAGCAAGCAGTCAATTTTTGAGTGGGAGGGAGGGAGGGAGGGGGGGGGGGGGTATTCTTAGTAGTGAGAACCCCCAAAGCTCAAACACCATACCCATCATAGACCATAGCAAGCAGTCACTTTTTGAAGGGGTGGGGGAAGGGGTATTCTTAGTAG